TGTCTTTTTAAAGACGAATTACATGCTATGATTTTTTTTCTGACGGATATTCTCAAGTTAAGTTTGATTTCATGTAATCGAATGAACTATCTTATAAGTAAAGTCGTCCCAGGAGCGCAACTCAACAATATTGGCAATATCATTTTAAAGTCGTCTACTTTAAAATGCATAATGTATGTCTGAATTGTCAATATAAATGAGTCAGATAAAATTAAATTATTAGAAGAATTTTTCACTATGTAACAAAAAAACAAAATTTGTTTAATTTACTCTTTGTATTTTGAGAACGATTTCCGAAGTGGAAATTGAAACGTCAATAAACGTATTTTTATCTTTAATTGTGGCTTATTCCCAGTTTAATAGTAATTAATTTACAATGCCACAAGAAAATAGCTTCAGAACAATATTTTATTGCCTGTTTCTATTAATATAAATAATATTTTAAATTTATTTTAAAATAAATATATGAGAATTTTCCAATTTTCTTTCAAGTAAATAATATCTATATCATTGAATCATTTTATTAATTAGTTTAATAGTAATTAATAGGCAATAAAATGTTTGAAATAATTATCAGGGAGAGAGATATTTATTTGAACTAGAACTAATACAGCTATGAGATATCATATGTCATACAACGAATCGGTTCCCAACGTTTCTACATCTTTTGATTTCCAATTTTTCAATATATTGATTATTCATTTCATAAGACGCGTGATAAAAAGCTGACGTTTACATGTAGACCCAATAGTCTACAAAGCCGAGGTATTCAGAAGTCAACTCTCTTCGCTAATACGTCGGAAAAGTAATCTGAGGTTCAAAATAAAGATCAGAGACGCAAACAGCATTGTCCTGCCAATATTAGACTATGCCTCTGCAACATATGGACAGACCTGCAAAACAAAGAGAAAGAAGATCCAAAGAAAGTCCAAAAATCCATAGTCAAAAAAGCGCTGGGGATAAAAAAATAAATTACTATTTATAACTGGGAATAAGCCACAATTAAAGAAGCGGCTCTAATTATGCTAAATGAGGCCAATTGTGTCGCAAATTCCTCGGCAGAATGTAGTAGGATCTGGTTACCAATATTGAAAGAGGAAGTTATTAATAAGAAAATACCAGTATTAGTAAGTCAGTAACATATAGAGGATACATCATTTATGTTTTTTAAATAACGTAACATATAAAATCAGAATTTTGATGTTTGTTGAAGGTAAACTAAATTCACGAACAAATACTTACAATGTCGGGATAGTATTATGAGGTTTTTTTTCCTGCTTTTTTCCCTCATAATTTACTATGGAATCACTAACAGGAGAATTTTACTGTCATCATGTCATCTGTTTGTCTTTTTAAAGACGAATTACATGCTATGATTTTTTTCTGACGGATATTCTCAAGTTAAAGTTGATTTCATGTAATCGAATGAACTATCTTATAGTAAAGTCGTCCCAGGAGCGCAACTCAACAATATTGGCAATATCATTTTAAAGTCGTCTACTTTAAAATGCATAATGTATGTCTGAATTGTCAATATAAATGAGTCAGATAAAATTAAATTATTAGAAGAATTTTTTCACTATGTAACAAAAAACAAAATTTGTTTAATTTACTGTTTGTATTTTGAGAACGATTTCCGAATTGGAAATTGAAACGTCAATAAACGTATTTTTTATCTTTAATTGTGGCTTATTCCCAGTTATAAATAGTAATTAATTTACAATGCCACAAGAAAATAGCTTCAGAACAATATGATAAAAAAATAGGTACCATTAAGATATGTATATATTTGTTCAAACCAAAAGAAGATCCTACGAACAATGGACGAGAGAGCATACGACATTTTTAACGACCTCAGAAACTATCCCAACAAAATATTATAAGAGTTAACAGACTATGATAAGACCAGCAGGGTCTAAGAATTCTGAGATAGTCATGCAACAGTCAATACAAGCGGTAAAAGAAGGCCAGAAAAAATCCTTCAGTACAATCAACACGAGGTGTTTGATGACAATATACACCTGGGAATACACACACCACCTCACGCACACTTTAAGGCTTTAAGTAGACACAGACACGGAGTGTGTGAAATTACTTTAAACTTGGGAATGCACACCTCATAGTTAAGAATAAAAAAACACCTTCAGTCATCGCACTAAATTCTCTGTACAAGTTTTACTAAATCTCGATGCCGTTACTAAAACTAAATGAATAAGTATAAAAGACCCATTGGATCTTTTATACAGCCGCTTAAGCGTAGGTCCTTAAGGCAGGTCACATAGAGACCTATCGCGAAACCTGAGCATTGAGACCATGTGCGACAAACTATGTGCGACAAAATTAAATTTATTTTGGTAAATCAGCGGCTGACTAACCAAGCACTTACAAAAATCGAACAGAGAGATCTTTGTTTAAAATACACATCTTTTTTAGAGACTTAAGTCTTAAGGTCCTGCTAGAGTAACTTCTATAATAGAATCAGTAATGTAAATAGGGAGAAAAGCCGATATGTGTGCTACCCCTACAGATAGGTGTCCTAACCAGTCATGATAAACACAGGGTGTTTCATTACCCCAGACACCCGAAGTAACTTTTAAGATCATAAGCCTTTCCACTTAAGTCACACGTCAAGGAGGGGTGGGGGAGAATCCTGGTGGTCAGATAGGTTACAGTGAGGTGAGACCGGTTTGATCTTCGGACATGGTGACCACAGTAGATGCCACTGTACAATGGTATACAAATTTAATTAGTGGCTGGGTTGATCACTATGTATGTGTGTGTGTAAGTCTTACTCATATTCTCTTATCTTTAATATTAAACTCAGATAAGACCCAGTCATCATAATTTTGGACGACCAAAACAGAAGGTATATAGACTACTTTCATTAGTGCTATTATCATATTAGAACATTTTTCTGTTTAATCACAACTTGAAGTAGTTGTATAGATATAAATACGGTATAGTTTAAAATATAGTATCAAGAATCTAGAAAGAACCAATGAGGTGAGGTATCTAGGGGTAACCCTGGATTCCAAACGCAATTGCAACATCCATATTAACAATATAGCCAACAGACAAGCGATTCTGTATATGACAGAAGCCTTGAATAGTAGAGGAACGGCATCTTGAGACGATATCATAGATCTCTCCCGTTGAAATGATATGTTTTGGCTGTAGACTTCATAGCTATCATGAGAAAAAGCAAATAATACTTGGAGGCCGATTTCTGTATTGGGTAGTCACATAAATACCACTGTAACTATACTTGAGGAATTCATCTTTCAGATTAACTCAGATATGATGACAACAGAAATAATCTTCACTGATAAGATAAACACAATTATTCTCCTATATACGAACTATGGTCTACTAAATCATCTAAAACTACCCATGGTAGTGAATTAAGAGTATTTGGGGAAACATGTAATTATAACAAATCTTACAGCCTAGGTCAATGTACAACTGTGTTCCAGGTTTAACTTTTTGCTTTGATTGCCCGAATTAATGAAATCCATAATGGAAACTACAAAGCAAAGATAACGATCATTTATACAGATAGCCAAGCAGCTATTTTCTCCGTGAAGAACCCACTCACCAAATCAAAACTGGTCATAAACTGCAAAGATCTAATTAACAGCCTGACATAAGACAATAAAATATCTTTAATATGGAAAGAGGTTGATGATAATGAACGAGCAGAATTGTTCATGAAGTTCGTAAATTTATTTAGAATAATCATAGCGTAATTTCGGAGTGCAAATTACACGAAATAGAAGGTATGATATGAATTTTCAATTTTTATTTTTTTCAAATATTGTAATTTTTTGTTTGGCAATAATATCAAAATTACTTATTTTGTTGCTTTTCAGCAACACTATGCATTTAAATACCTTTTTGTACATAGGTTTTCAAAATGAGTGGTCGTTTATCATAAAAATAAATGAAAGAATATTGGGATAATTCCACTGGTCTGGAAAGTGATGACGATGCTGATTTCTCAGATACAGATAGTATTGCAGATCCCTTATTTTGTGGATGTGGCACAGAGGACAAATAATTTGATCCGGAACTTAAGGGATTCAGTGGACTGTGATCACAGGCGACTGAAATATTTTTTAACGCAGTTACTTACAGCACACTTGTGTTTTAGAGACTAGCTCAGTAGATTCGAAAAGACTGACACCGATGAATGTCTATACTGCAGACACTCGGACACTATAATACATACGATGTTAAAGTGCAACAGATCAATAGTAGAAAGGACCAGAATGGAAAGGGAGACAGGTGCGAATTTTATTACAGTGGGAGAAATGATTAAGAGAATTATTGAAAATAAAGCAGGTTGGAGTAGTTTACACAACTGTATCCGTACAGTGATCAATAAAAAAATAGAGAAAGAAATACAGCTAGACTCACGGCAAAAATAAAAGGAATATATGCTGTAAGGTATCTTAAAAGGTAGAAAAGTGAGTTCGACTGTGTGTTAGACTTTGTGAGTCAGACTGTGGGAAAGAAGGAAATGCCAGTTTAGGAGTGCGTCCGCACTAGGAGCGATAAGAATTTGCCACGCGCTACCTTAAAAGGGTTCTTTTAAAAAACAAACAGTCTTTTGGACCAAAAAAGGGAACACAGGGAAAACGGACACACTATGACAGAACGATTTCTTGTGGATATTGCTTCGGAAGTGATGCCGGCCTCACAGCGGCCATTCCGCTTCTGAATCGCTGGATGACAGGTTTAGCAGGTAGACTCGGCAATTAGGGGACGATTTTAAATACCTCGGGAACTATTACCAGGAGTACGAGAACAAATCCTGCACTAAGATCAGTCAGACGGCGTCCTGGAGATGTCTTTTGAAGACTGAAAACCCCCCTCTATAAAAACGAAAAAAAGGTAGTCCTCTAATATTATTCAGTTCTGTTATAGTATTGTACAGTTTTAAGTTAATACATTTTTGGTAATTGTAAGTATTAAAAATAATAAATATAGATATAACCTACCTACAACTGGTCCTAATGTTAGCAATAATGGATAGTTCCATGCCCCAATAACTAATACAACTCCATACGGATCACTGTAAATAAAAACACCATCAAGAAAATTGATCAGCCTCTTTTCTGGTTTAACAGGCTTAGCCCATTCGTTGAGGTCCAATAACGTGTGTCTTAAATCGTTAGCTACGAGTTCTATTTCACATACTTCGGATTCCATTTTATGTTTACGTAAATCCTAAAAATCATTTAATGTAAAGCAAAGTATTAAATAAATAGCAATACTTACCAATTCATTGTATATTGCTAAATTTAAAATTTTATATGAATATTTGCATAAATTGATTTAATTGTATACGTACAGAACAAAATAATTCTAAAACAAAAACCTTAACACCTTTAATGATATCGCTAATAATATTTAACTACAACTTCAAAATAAGTACCAAATTTCTCATAATTTAGTTATAGCATCAAGCCTAAACCAGTGAGATATATGAAAAATACTGTGAGAATAAGTTAGGGATCAAAAAACGAACTACCTACATGATAACATCCTATCGCTACATACTCTGCAGAAACTTGGGCTGACTCACAACATATAATGGTCTTTGAAATGTGGGGCTGTCGTAGAATTAATCGCATGCCTTGGACAGCACGTCGCTCAAATCTCAAAATTATCAGAACTGGACCATTATGCTCAATACAAACATTAAGCCAAATTATATTGAGACACTTTAATACGTATCCAGAAAACTGAAAGGAATGGAGCAAATGGACCATTTCGATGGCCAGACCAAATAAAGACCACCATCGGTTTCTCTCTTTCTCACTTTCTCAGGCAGCACGCCACGCGCAGGAGAGAGAAGAATGGAAAGCAACCATACATTGATGCCATAACTTCACCACAACCTTTACAAAGGTGAAAAAAAGAACAAGAGGAAACTTACCAGCAGAACAGCTAGTCCCAAGGCCCTCATATAATCGATCACAAAGCCTCGAATCTAGGAGCACATCGGGCAAATTTCAGAGTGGGTCTTTTACTGCACAAAAATTTAAAAAAAACATAAAAGATATTACATATATTAACCGCATAATTCTGAAAATTATATTAATTACGAAAAACAGCAAATTCTATATCATCAGTTTATGTTACAGACATAGAAAAACAGAAGTTTGAAGATTTTTAGTTAGAACTAAACACACGAACACTTAAAAGAATATACAGTCAACGATAGACACTAAATAACAACAAATAGAAAAATAATATCCAATCAAATTCTTCACGCATAATATCAGACAATAAAAAGGTTTAACAAAAACGCTTCTAAGAAAAAAATAAGAAAAGAGAAAAATTTAAGAAAAACTTGCCAACATGGAGAAACAATGTAAATGAAATTTAAGCAAACGTACAGTGTACAGGGCCGTAATTACAAATAACGAAGTACTGGAAAGGGTTGGTAAAGAAACAGAACTAATCACCACTATATAAACCAGAAAACTGGAATACCTAGGCAGCGTGATGAGAGGACAAAAATATGACATTTTCAGACTCATAATACAGGGAAAGATTCAAAGAAGAAGATCTGTTGACCGAAGGTAGAACTCATGGTTAAAGAATCTTCGTGATTGGTATTATTGCAGATCGATTGATTTGTTTAGAGCAGCAAGTTCAAAAATAAAAACAGCCAATATAATTGCCAACCTCCGCAGGAAGACGGCACTCTAAGAAGAAAAACAGTGTACAGGATGCAAAACAAAGGATAGAAGTTAAATATAGCAAAAATATTAAAGCCATGCCTAACATCAAAATCGGACATTTGACCTACGAGAAGAGGTCAACCTATGACCTATGACCATTATCATCAATGCAAGGATATAGGAAAGAACATCAATTCTAAGACTAGAGGCTGGATGGACATTCCTCATTAAAGGCATGGACATGGCCTATACAGTTAAATGTAGAAAGAGCTTAATAATGAATAAAAAAATCTAAACAAAATAGAAACAGAACAATGGGTAATGGGTATATTTTACCTATAGAAAAGAATTTTATAACGATATGAGTATTAGAACTACGGAAACAATAGAGGAAGAAGAAGAAAGTGATGGTGATGGCAATCAGAAAGGGAGAGATCAGCGACAGCATACACAGAGGTATTTTTTTAAAGATATTTTAAAGAGCAACGTATAAGACTAGCGGAGGACAAACATTACAATACCAAAGAACAAAAAAAAATAGTCAAAATGTTACAATTTATCCTACAGTTATCTTGGTCAATAGAATTTTTAAACTCTTAATCTTAAAGAAAATTGTGGGAAAGCTTTAAAATTTATATGTGCGTTGTAGATCAGAATTAAGTCTTAGACTAAGTTACTTTCTAAAATGTGTTACAAGTACTATAAAACTAGTCCAACTGAACTGTAAAGATAGTTAAAGATATTAACACTAAACAAAATAAAAAAATTATTGTAGACGTGAATAAACTAATTTGGAAAGAAGACATTAATTCGAAATTTATCGAGATAAACCTTAAGTCCACTACTTTTTATTTCAATGAAGCAAAATTATCATTTAGAATTATTTTAATACTGCCATTACTTCAACAATATTTTAACTGTCAAATATACATTTTAAAAATATTTTTCAATACACTTGTTAATATAAAATCATGTTGAAAAATACACTAAACTGATAACAAAATTTTGTTTTTTAATTTATTATGTAGATAATGTTGTTTTAGGCCATGTTTTACTATAGTATATAAATTAGTTCTATATCTTAACACGACTTATAAATCGCCATATTTCTGGTGATTTTAATACTAAATATTGGTATATTTGCAATGAACATTGTAGCATTTTCAATTTCATTGATTCTTTTGAGTATATTGAAACCTTCTCGTATAAAAAATATATTAAAAACTCCTTATATATTTTTAAAAAATGAAACGAAGAATTTTTCCGTGTTGTTAGTTCGTATCTTTCAAAGTACCCAAAAGTGTTTCGTCGCTGAGTAATAAAACCATTTGAGAGTTGTTTATTTTACTTCGGCAATCTCTTTTCACGTTTATGCGTCGCAAAAGGATATGTACGCCGTTTTGTTGGTTTTGCTATTTCAGCAGTTGGTTTATTTTCAAGTTAAGCAAACAAATTTTTAATTTCTTTACTCTCGTTGGAACCGCGAGCAAGAGCGGTTCAGCGTTATGTCCAAATTCATGTCGAATTTGTAAAATTTTCTGTTTTTTTCGTTGATTGTGGTGGAAATGGGTAGCAGTAGTGATGGATTTTGTCCAGTATGAAGTGACTGGCATTAATTTGCCGGGAGTAGTGAAGTTTTTTTAAAATATTATCGTTACAACATAAACTCCTCCAAATACGTATAAGGAGGGATAATTATTGCAGTAGAGAATTAAAAGTAATTTTGTATTTTAATGTGATACAGCCTAACTACGACCATACGGTAGCTAATTTATTAGAGAAGTTTTAAGATTTGGAATGTCTAATGAGGCTCAAAATCCACTTTTTGCATAACCATCTTGACTTTTTCACTGAAAATCTGGGTGATGTCAGTAAATAACAAGTGGAACGATTCTACCAGAATATCAAGGGGATGGAGAAACAATACCAGGTACGTTGCAACACCAACATGAGGGATAATTGCTGTTGGTCAATTCATAGGAAACAACAGAATGCCTTACATAGGAGAAAAAGCTACTAGACAAGTTTTACAGAAAAAAGAGAAAGAAAATACAAAAGTAATTGCTCCCGAAATGACTGTACAGTGTTACTAGATAAGAATTAGATAAAAGGTATTATTTTAATATAGTATCATTTTAATTTAAAAGTATTTTGTCTTTTTCAAATTAATATAATGTAGAATAAATCAGTTTTATATTGTGGGAAAACTACGTCTGCCTCTTAACGTGCCCTATCAAGTCCCCCTGACGTTGGCGATTAACGTGGTGAAACTATCTCTGTCTCGAGCTATTCTTAAAGGTTGCTCAGCTTTTTTTATTCTTGTCCACTCCCTGATATTCTTCAACCAAAAGGCCTGCTTTCTACCAATTCCTCTGCGTCCTTCGATTTTACCCATCATAATAAGTTGAAGAATATTATATCGGTCTCCCCTTACTACGTGTCCAAAATAGGCCATCCTTCTACATTTGATGTTATCAAGCAGCTCGCGAGCAGCATTTGCTCTCTTAAGGACTACCACATTTGTCAGCATAGCTGTCCATGGAATTTTTAGTATACTTCTGTGCAGCCACATTTCAAAGGCCTCCAGACGATTATTGGCGGATATTTTTAATGTCCATGCTTCGACACCGTATAAGAGAACTGACCAAATGTAGCATTTAACCATGCGCTTTTGAAGTTGAGGTTGCAAGTTATCATTACAGAAGAATGACCTCATTTTTAAAAATGTCGTGCGGGCTATTTTGATTCTACATTTTATCTCTTGATCTGGATCTAGTTTTTCACTAATATGGCACCCAAGATAATTAAAACTGGACACTCTTTGAATTATATTGAATTATATGACCATCAACATATAATTGTGCATCTAGAGAAAACTACGTAGGTAAGTACGAAAAATTTCGTACCACAATATGGCCGATGTTTAAAAAACACCTTGTGTATAATTTATTCAGTCATTTTATCAATGTATATGCGACAAACAGGTACGGTATGTTCCAAGCAAATATTTTGTTTTACAATAGTGACACATGTATCAAGTTTTACGATCTCTACAAAAAGCACAACGCCCCCTTTTATTTTGCAATTCCGCAGAGGCTTGTACTGGTCCAACACCACTGAGTTTAGCAGCAAGTTATTTTATATCTCGTGATAAATGAACAGATTGAGCTCTTTATTATTAAATTGCATTTCTTGTAGCAACATCAAACAATCCATAAAAGATGACCATGGGCCAACGTTTTGTATTTCTTGTGACAGTATAGGAACCTCGAACTTGATCAACCGTATTTACATCACCTTTCGTAGAGTTAGAGAAGGTTATTACTTCAGGTTGTTATATATATGAAAGTAAAAGATTGCATTTCATTTCAATCGGAATTCGACCATTGCCCTACACGTGTTTCGGGTTATTCAACCCATCGTCAGGAGCACTTGAGTTCAACTGAAATGAAATGCAGTCTAGTATTTGGTCATTATAACCAAAATAACAGCCAGGGTACGCTAGCAGCGACATCTATACGAAATTTCGTATTAAAA